TTCATAACCTTGGAAGCATGAATTTTGGAGTGATCACCAATGTAATAGATGGTCTTAAGTTCTGTATTATCTTAAATTTTTAAACTTGACATCTTAAATATACAATTTGCTCGATATCTTCAAATTCTGAAAGTGTACATTATCTGATATGGTTAGAAATTTAAAATATACATTTCTTAAGATTACCAAGATCATATTTATTTTAATTTATACTTATTGGTAGAATAGGTGGTTAAGATGTGTTAAGGACAGGGAGAGAGGGGACCACTGTACCCCCAAACCTGCCTACTCTAAATCAGTTCTGCCATCCGCCGCATCAAGACAACATATAAGACTTTAATGAAAAGGAACTTTAATACACTGAGTATACAATACAGAAGACAAAGAATATAATTTCTAAATCAAACACCTGAAATTACCCATCCCCTCGTGGGCAAAGTCGACCTAAAAGAGACTGGCCCAAAGCAAGGCCTGAAAGCTTGCCACAAGTCTAAAGCACCTTCTGTCTGGGACCCATAGAAAAGGGTCAGAAATGGCCAGGCAAGTCTGGGAGGAAAAGAGCAAAATCAAAATCAATATGAACATTACCATAGTCAACCTCCCTATGGGTCTCTCACCCACATCTGTTTGAACCAGACCAAGACCAAGAAAAAGTGCATTTTCTTCACATATCTCTGCTCCATGTGTCTCCCTCAGGTCATGTTCTGGCTCTCCATCCTGCTTTCTTCCATTCAGCTCCACCCTCATTCTGGGTGGGTCAGAGATCCTGGAACTTCCCCTTTTCCTAGTGACCACCCAGTTAACAGATGCATTACCAAAAATTTATATTTTAAAATAGGTGGAACATTGATTTTCTTCTATATCTAATAATTTTGAGATGTAATATAGTTTTTATAATCATACTATTTTATAACCTGACATGAAATCTGTCCTTTTCTGAAGGAAATTTTTACAAGTGTGGCCTTACTGCTTTCGTAAATACACAATGGATTTTCTTTTTACTGTTGTAAAGTTTTAAAAATGGTCTATTTTTGCCACTTTAAATTTATTGTTTACTTTTGAGAACTTACTGTAGTTTGTAAGTTATTCTGAGTATGCATACATTTAAGATGCAAAAGTTGTGTAAGAGAAAGGTATAATGTTCAGTCTTTCTTTAGAATACTACTTGAAAAATTGGTGTGGGCTTGTTTGATTAGGCAAACAATTATAATTGCTTATTTGCAATCATACTGCTTTGTCTTTCAAGCTAAGTGAAAAGGATAGATGGAGGTCCAGTTTTCTGATAAATGTTTTGTTTCAGAGGTCTTTGTTAGATGTTGTTAAGTCCATTTGGCTCTGGCTATTGGTCTATCTGGGTTTCCACGGTAGGAATGAAGAGCTGTGGTAGAAGTTTGAGTTTTTGTGTCAGATAGAGGACATGTCTGCTCTGCTGTAGAAGAGCTAAGCCTGCCAAAAACAGCTGGAAAAGTATGTTGTGCTTAGATCTTTCTCTTAATTAGTAAATTGGATTAAGATGGTTCTGGAAGTCTTCCAAAGAGTTATTTTAAACTTGGAGTTGCATAGTCAACATAGGGATAGCTTGAGATACTGTCAAGGGGCAGAATATTTTCTAAGGTTGCTATATTGTACTCTGTCCTCTTATGTTTGCGTTACTCTCCAGCCTCCTTTGATCCCACTGTACCCACACTTCCCGTGGGTACACTTCCATGGGTGTACAGACCCTGAACTTAATTTAATGCTCTACTTTTGTCCCTTTGAAATTTTAAATTTTTGAACGAGGATCCATTCTTTAATTTGGTCTTGGCTGTGGAAGTGACAACCATCTATTAAAAAAAAATCCTTGAGGGCACTCCTTGGTGGCACAGACAGCACTGAGAAGCTAAAGCCACTTCCCCCTGAGTTCAATCCCTGCCTGCTCTGGAGGTGATCCACATGGCGTGGCAGACCTCTCCTGACCGACCTGCCCGCTGCTTTCCTCAGCAGTGCACTTTGTCAGTTGGCCTGTTTGCATTCCACCGTGTCTCTGGTGAATCTTCTCACTGCCCCTGTATCCCAGTTCTGTATGTACAAATACATCAATTTTAAAAAAAGAAAAAAAATCCTTGAGTTCATGTCAGGGAGTGTTTTTCTTAAAATGTCACTTCTTGATGTTCCCTCAGATACACCAAGTAGTCCATACGTTAGCTCTTTTGTTCATAGTGTTCCCTTCTCCTTTTTCCTTTGTAGCTTGGTTTATCTCTTGATGGTTTGAAATGTTGAAGAAACAAGGCTAAGTTGTGCAACTTAACATGGTCATTTCAGTTAGTACACAATTTGTACAATGAAGACATATTGTCTTCATAGCTTTCTTGAACAAGGTGGTATCTGGTAAGATTGGGCTGTCGTTTGATGTTGGGATCATAGTTTTGTGATACAGGGATATCAGACTGTTTTTGCTAAGGAAGGATTTTTTAATTTTCAGATTAGCGAAGGATTTTTTAATTTTCAGTCCATTCATTCATGCAAAAAAAATTTGAGCGTTTAATACATGCCAGAGTGTATGCTAAGTACTGAGGGTGGTATGACATTAAATAAAATATTTAACTTTTTCTCTACTGAGCTAGTAATATTGTAATGGGGAGGCAGAAAAATAAATTAACAAATACATCAATATGTAGTATGTGGGTGGTGGGGTTCTAGAAAGCAATGCAAAGTAGGGTAAGAGACTGGTAAGTGATGGGTAGGTGTTTTAATGCCATTTTTGATAGAGTGAAAGGTCTAATTGAGATGATTCATAATCGGCTAAATGAAGGGCTTTTAGCCTATGTGAAGTACTGGGTGAAGGAGTTTCTACTGGAGGGAACAACAAATGTGAAGGTACGGCACTTGTTTGTAATCTTCAGGAAACCAAGGAAGATGTTATGAATACAATAGAACCAGCAGTGGAGAGACAAGTAGGCAGAGGGACAGAGAACTAGGACCTAGTCACTCAGGGACTTACATACCAAGGTGAAGATTTCATCTAGTACTTTAAATGAGATGGGAAGCCAGTGGAAGATTATTGTGGATTTGCATTTTTAAAAGGCCATTCTAGTTGTGGTAGGCAAAGGAATGATCTGAAATGCTACTGAGAGTCAAGTAAGCCAAAATTCCTGTTTAGGTAATTATTTATTCATACAAGAACTGGGGTACAGTCAGAGATGGCAGGAGTGAAAGGATTTACTATAGACAAAGCCGGGGAACATAACAAGCAGATTGAAATACACTGCTGAGGGGAGCAATGGGCAAGACAGGAGAGGTCTGCCACACCATGTGGGTCAGCTCCCTGGTTGGGGATTGAACTCATACTCTAGTGGCTGTGGTTAGCTTCATAGTGCTGAGACTTAATAACTCGCACCACCAGGGAGAGCCCTGGATACTGTTTTTCACTCGTGTTATTTGTCTGGTAACCAGCAGTCAGAGAGAGAGACCTTTTCAGAGTCTGTATTTTTATGCTAAGAATGGTGCTAGGGATGTAGACTCAGTCTTGAAAGAAAAGGCTCTATTTAATTTTAAGGTGAAGACGGGAGCAAAATGATTCTTGAGCTTTCCCCCAGTAATATGATTCTGTGTGATGTTTTTATTAAAACTTAATTGGCCTGTCAAGAATGTGATTCTTAATGATACCCTGGAGAGCAGAATCTTTGTTAAAAAAATTCAGTTTTATAGAAATTTAAAAGATTTGAACTAGTGATTTGTTCTGCTGAGCCTTATAATTTCTACATGTAAAAAATTGTAATTTTAAATTAAGATTAAAGACATTGGCCCTCCCTGGTGGCGCAGCTGGCTAAAGCACAGCACTAAGAAGCTAAAGCCACTTCAGCATGAGTTTGATCTCTGCCCCGGAGTTGATCCATACGGCGCAGCAGACCTTTCCTGACCTACCTGCTGCTCCCCTCAGCAGTGTACTTCATCAGTTGGCCTGTTCTGTTTCCCCCCTCTCTCTGGTGAATCCTTTCACTGCCCCTGCACCTCTGGCCTGTACCCCAATTCTGTATGCATAAATAAATAAATCCTTTTTTTAAAAAAAGGATTAAAGACATTTCCTTCTGAAAATGTTTTTTTGTTAAATTCTTATCTTTTTATGAACTTAGCATTCCACTGACAACACTGAGTTGCTTTTACAACTGTGTCACCAAGGTGCCATATGCTTATATTGAGACCCACGAGAAGAAATGAACCTTTTGTTTGTATTTTCCAGTATTCTTTCCAGAAGGCCAGTGGACTTTTTTCCTTTGGTCTCTGAGGAATTGGTGTATCTCTTCACTTCCTAGTCTTTAGTATATCATGAGCCATGGCATTGAATACGTTTTTTTGTTTTGAACTGTTGCAAAGCTCGGACCCCAATTTGTGGCTCACCTCTAGAAGTAGCCAGGACTTCTTCCTTTTGTATGCCATTGTCCTTATAGAGTCCATCTTGGGCTTCTACTCTAACTTTGTCTTTGCCTACTTTACTTTTACATCTGGCTGTGCATATCTTCAAGAGATGCTTACTTTTATTTTTTTTTAAAGAAGATTTATTTATTTATGCATACAGAACTGGGGGACATCCCAGAGGTACAGGGGTGGTGAGAGGATTCACCAGAGGCAGAGTGGGAAGCAGAACAGGCTGACTGACAAAGTACACTGCTGAGGGGAGCAGCTGGAGAAAAGGAGAGGTCTGCTGTGCCATGTGGGTCACCTCCTAGGCAGGGATCGAACTAGTGTTGAAGTGACTTTAGCTTCTTAGTACTGTGCTTTAACCCACTGCGCCACCAGGGAGGGCCCCAACAGGTGCTTTTGTACTCTAGGAGATGCATGGGAGCCATTGTCACCATTTTTCAACCTGATTTTCAAGGTATTACTCTAAAAAGCATCTATCACATCACTACCTCTTCCCCCATAGCAACAATAAGGAATGGGAAAGAAGAAAAAGTTTGTAAGCATTTTTTTTTAATAAAAGCTGTTTTGAGTGTCTCTTCCTGTTTTTTTTTTTTTAATAGAAGTTGGTGATATGGCAAAACAGTACATAGAGAAAGGTCTATTGGTTCCAGATCATGTGATCACACGTCTAATGATGTCGGAGCTGGAGAATCGTCGTGGCCAGCACTGGCTGTTGGATGGTGAGTTGAACCTGTGGGCAAAATGGATTTTTGGTATCATCTCTTTGTACACTCTCTTAATTTTTTAGATTGCAAAATATCTTTTCTTTGTAAATACATATATAATTATATAAATCATTATTTATTGAGTTTATGACACCTGTTTTATAACAATTACACTTTGGAATTAATTTTTCTTCATTTGCTCTTGCTATAAGAATATTCCTTGAATGTGAGATCATATTTTTCAGTCACTGATAAATCTTTTCAGTTTAGAAAAGAACTGGGAGCACTGCAGGCACTTAATATGTTCTGTGAACTCAAATATTCTTCCTCACATAGATCTAAAGCAACAGATTTCTTATAGTATTCTATCCTTTAGAGCACTCTCTGATATCTGAAATTGCCTATTGATTAATTTGTTCTTATTTATTTGCTTATCTGTTTGTTTTCTATCTCCCTGACAGAATCTAAGCTTCTAAAGGACAGGAATTTTTCTGACCTTATTCATAGCTGAGTTCCTATTTCTGAGATAGTTCTTGACATAGAATAGTTGCTCAGAATATACTTTTGGTTCAATCGTTCTTTAAAGTCCTAAAACAAAAAAGGGTTCACTAGGAGTTACTTCAGGAAGTCCAGGGGTGGATTCATCTGTACATAAAAATGCACTGCTACTCTATTCTGAGTGTATGCCCTATAGTGTATGTACTGTATAGGGTGAGGTAGGGATTGGCTGACAATCTGTTCTAAGCTAAGTAGCAATCCCAAGAAATACTGTGAAAAATGTGTTTTAACTTATTATTGATATATCTTCTTTTTGTTTTAACTATTCTCTCAGCCTTGACAGCTAGTTCCATCAATGTTTGTTAAATCACTGGCTACTAGTGGGCTACCTTTATTTCTTCTTATATTACTGTTTACCTCTTTAAGTCCTGTTTCTAATTTGTGCTGCTTTCAACTAAGAATAATGGTAAATAGATGTCACAAAAGCAAATTTTTCTAAGTGCTCCAATATCTGCAGAGACCCATATAAAAGGATGCCTAGTCATAAAAGCAGGTTTATACAGTAAGTGAGGTCATTTGAGGATATATCAACATTTCCACCTGCCCAGTGACAGACTATGGTGAGAATTCCAAGGAGAAATGCTCCCATTCCACTTGTGCATTTAGTTTCCACTGATGAGATTTCTTTTTTAAATAATATAATAGTTTATTTTTACATCATTTTGTGCATTTTTCCCATCTCAGTTGCAACCCCCTTGGGCTTCCCATCACCAAATCACCATGTGCCATCACCATAGTCCAGTACATTTCCCTCCCCCCACTATTTTTGATCGCATTCCCCACTCCAACCCCACAAAATGTCTCTGGCATATAGCCGTTCATCATTATTATTATTTTCTTGCCTGTTCCATTATATTCCTGCTATGAGAGAAGCCATCGGTATTTTTCCTTTTCTTTCTGGCTTATTTCACTAAATATCTTTTCTTTTAAACTTCCAGTTATTTATCCAATTTGTCAACATGATAGAAACTGTCTGTGATGAAGCCTTATAAGTCCTTTGTCTTCAGATTGTCATTCCTAGGGCCATTGACTTAAGCAATTACTTAGTAAAATTCCGTTAATATTGCAGTTTCTGTGGTGTCTTTTCTTTTCATAACAAAGTCATCATAACACATCTTAAATTAGAGGTTTATATACCCATAATAAATCACACAAATTAAAACCATGATTTATGATTTTTTTTTTAAAAAGATTTATTTATTTATTCATATAGAACTGGGGTATAGGCCAGAGACGCGGAGGGTGAGAGGATTCACCAGAGACAGAGAGGGGAGCAGAATAGGCAGATCAACGAAATACACTGCGGAGGGGAGCAGCGGGCGGGTCAGGAAGGGTCTGCCTCGCCATGTAGAGTTCCTCCCGGGTAGGCGGGAATCGAGCTCATGTGGAAGTGGCTTAAGCTTCTCAGTGCTGTGCTTTAACCCACTGCGGCACCAGGGAGGGCCTATGATTTTTTTTTAACCTGTTAGTCTCGCAAAGGTAGAATACCTAAAAATCCATTAGTGTAGGAAATAAGTATCACAAAGTTGGCAATTTTTGGAGAATAGTTTAGCAAACATTAAATATTTTGACTCATTATTTCCCTTTTGTCTAAAAATATGTCTTGGAGGGTGTTTACTTAAGCATTATTTATAAAAAGCAAAACATTGGTAACTGCTTTGTATGTATCATAAGGATTTCTTTTGTTATGTGTATTAGCCAAGTAATATGTATTGTGTGTGTTGTGATAGAGCTGGAAGATAAACTGCCAAGTGAGAAAAAGTTAATTGCAATATAGTGTTGCAGTATAGTAGGCATATACTATTGCCTCTGTAAAAATAAAGGGTTGGGATGATATTCCTCTCTATGCTATTTATACAAACACAAGTTTATGCTCTCCTTAAAAGGATGTCGGAAACTGAGAATAGTGGGCTGTTGGTAAGGATTAAGTTTAGGGAAGAGACTTAACTTAGCTGTTTACATCCTTTAGAATGATTTGATAAATAATACATGAACCTAATTTAAAAATTGGCCATTGACTCAACACAAAGATAGCAGAACAGAAAGTTGTTGGCTAAAGGAACCACTAGAGAGTTGTTAAGTAGAGGCACAACATGATCAGATTTGTGTCTTTGAAATTTTGTTAGCAGTGCAGGAGAGATTAGGTGCATGGGATGGGAAAGTGGTGGTGTTTAGAAGCCAAATAAAAGGCTGGTAGAATAATCTTTTCAAGGAATGTTGAAGGTCTGAATTTGAACAGCAGTGCAATGGGAAAGAAGTGCCATTCCTGAGAGAATGAATGGAGGAAGATTGCCAGGTGCAGGCATTGTGAATGATAGGTATTACATCCTCTGATTCTCCTCTGAGCATTTTCAGTTTCTTGGCTATCATCACTTTCCCTATGCTTCTCCAGGGCACATTAATTTCTCCAGATTCTGCATATTTAATGCACAAAAGCTGGCTCCTTTGTGCTTGTATGGGGTTTTGCCATGACTGATAAACTTTGATTTTGCTATCATTTAGCATCTAATTGCTATAATTTGAGTTACCTTGTTTTTAAATTTTCATTGGCCAACTATTAGTTTATATACTCTTAGTATATATATTCTTAGTATTTTGTAAATATAGAATCTCCCCTTTAGTCTGATTTACTTAGGTTTTCTCACCTTGTAGAAATAAGCTTGTATAGTTTTAGTAATTTAAAATCTGATTTTTAAAAGGATCATATGTTAAAATCCTTTGGAAAGGTGGTTGGCATAAAAACCATTAACCTGGGTCAGTGCAAACTGCTTATTTTGAATCCAAGTTCTGTCAATAATGGTGTTTTGTGTGACCTTCAGCATGTCATCTTACCTTTCTGTGCATCTTACTCCTCATGAAAATCAGGGATTCAAAAAGGACTTGTAAGAATGAGGTCAGTGGATCTATGTAAAGCACTTGGAGAATGTATGTCATCTAGTAAGTGCTATGTAAGTATCAAGTTTTAATATTGTTTGTTTTCGTACATGATGTTCAGTTGCTAAATATATATTTTTTTGGTGACAGTGTAAAGTGTTGAGTTAAAAAAATAGCTTTAAAATTTTTTAGTCAAGTGAAGCTGGAAAGTCAGTTCCTGTTATGGAATGTTTTATGTCTTTTTTCAGTGCTTTGCTTTTGCCATAACACTTCCTCTCAGGGTTGAAGTTCTTTTACATCACAGACCTGTTTTTAGTCGAGTACATCACTCTCTGAACTGATTTAGTTTGTATCTTTCTCCTTGAAAGCCCATCTGGTCAGTTTTTCAGTTGTGAGTTTTCCTCCAAGCTCTGGAATAAATCCACTTGGCAACGTGAAGATTGTCAGGAATTGCTGGTTCTGTGTTCAGCTCCAAAAGCCTTATGTCACAGGGCACACGCGTGGCGGAGGATGTGCATATGCTAAAGGTGATTGAATATGGAAAGGGCAAGAAGAGAATCGTGATGACAGATGACTCATCATCTTGGTCCATATGGCTGTAGAGAAGCTTTTCTGCAAATGGTGGGTGGAAAGTAGAATGAATGCATGCCAAGGTGGTGGAAGATGGGGATGGTTAGTGTGTGAAATTTGGTCAGCTGTGTCCTTGCTAAAAAAAGGCTTAGCAGTCCCTTGCTTTACCAAATACTTTCCAGCTGGGTGGAAACACACTTAGGTGTTTTTATGCATATCATATATTGCCCCCCTTGTGGGATGTACATATGATCCCTCTAGTGGAGATACTCAGGCCTTGAAGGCATCACATTAGATGCTATTTTTCTTTTCTTTCTTTTCTTTTCTTTTCTTTTTTTTTTTAAGATTTATTTATTTATGCATACAAGAAATGGGGTACAGGCCACAGGTACAGGGATGAGAGGATCCACCAGACAGAGTGGGGTACAGAACAGTTAGATGTACTGGAGTACACTGCTGAGGGGAGCAGCAGGCAAGACAGGAAGGTTCTGCTGCACCCCTTGCCGAGGATTGAAATTTGGCTGCAGTGGCTGCAGATAGCTGCAGAGTGCCCCTGTGCTACCAGGGAGTCCCCCTTTCTTCTTTTTAAAATTTCCTTGTTTTTTTTAAAAAAGAAACAAGTGTCCCTTAATTTTCAAGACAAGGCTGTCATGGACAAGCCTTCTAATTTTAATTATATAACCATTTGTTGTTTTTGTTTTTGAGTTTCATCGAGCGAATATTTGTTGCTAACTGGGTGATGTTAAGGTGAGATAGTAACTAGGGAACATTCAACAGATGTTTAAGGCAAATAAAGATTTCTTTGCATTTTAGAAAAATTTGTTATCAAATTTTGCTACCACTTAACACCTAATGCTGTAATTTGAATGACCTTGTTTTTATATTTTATTGGACAACCATTTTTTTTTATTACAAAGTTTATTTTTGCATCATTTTGCACATTTTTTTATTCCATCTCGATGGTAATCCCCGCGGGTTTCCCATCACCAAATCACCCCTGTGCCACCACCATA